GTTAATACAAACTACCACAGATTGTTGCGGTTTTCGGAGGCAAATTTACGTTCAGTAGTTTGCTATTATCGGCTCTGTGGCTAAGTCGATGCGAACGCTTCGTAATGCCGGGATGCCGGGTTCGATCCCAGCTGCGGGCCATGCGCCTTGCGGTAGTTTCGACAGCGGTATCAAGAAAGCCGACCGTCCAGTAAGCAATGGCAAACTACTGGACGTAAATTTGCCTAGAAAAATCACAAAACAGCCAGGGGCTGTTGGGTGGGTTCTTCAACGTCCTGTAAAGGATACGCAACTAACCAGTTTGCTATTGCTTACTGAATAATCGACTTCCAGCACCACTATTAAAACCAACGCAAGACTGTCTCCCGCCAAATCTCTTGCACCTGGGATTAAACGCGGCATCCCGGCATTACGAATTGCATTCGGAAAGCTCCAGAGGTCGACTTTAACCACACATATTTAAAACCACATACATAACCATATAATATTGATTACAAAATATACCTTTAAAAAAAAAAGCCTGCAAACCAAACTAAAGGCACACAGAGTTTCAGTGCTTCCAGTGCGCTACTGTATGCTTGGAAAACGTGTACAGTATACAGACGTCAGCAAAGAAGCTCAACCACTTCCATACAGTCTGCCTGAGACTCAACATCAGGTAGCAAGATAGTGTCCCAGATACTGTAGTTTAAGACAGAGCTGGTATTCCCAGCGTCGACACTATCTCGAGGCAGTCGCAGATTCGGCTCCCGAAAAGAAATCTTTTATGGCGAGATCCAAGAAGTTAGACACTCTCAGACGCTTATTGGCGCGCTAAAGCCATCACTTAAAACCTTCAGTATAAACCCCGACACTTGGGAATCTGTTGCACAACAGTGAATTTATGGTGAACGTCCATCCGAAGCGGAAGTCGCCGTGGCGTAGCGGCTAGACGTTCGTGTGCGGATCGGATGGTCGTGGGTTCGCTCCCTGGCAAAGCAGGAATTTTTTTTTCTTTCAAAAATGTGCTTGACTCCCAGGTCGACCCACCTTGAATGGGTACCAGGTGCAGTCCTGGGAAGTAAAGGCGGCTGGCTAATGCTGACCATATCATCGATTGTGAGCCGATTGGTCTAAAAAATATATAGGTCTAGCCCTATACGCCTAAAGACATTAAAAAGGGACTTACTTTTTTACCATCCAAAGCGGTGCACGACCTGCGAGGCATCTAAAAAGGGCAGCCGAACAGAGATCACAAGCTAGAAAGAACCCTAAAGGAGGCCCTTTATCTACAGATACTATTGCTTGGCCCCATGGTCCTAGATAATTATGTACCCATCATGGGCTTATAATTCATCTCTGGACTCACAGACAATCGGCTCTGGTTTTATGACGTTTGAATACACACACACACAAACACACAAGAGTTGTCCTCATCATTTGTGATGGACGAACAAAAACCTTTCTTTCTTTCTTTTCTCTGTCTTTCTTTCTTTCTTTCTTTCTTTCTTTCTTTCTTTCTTTCTTTCTTTTCTTTCTTTCTTTCTTTCTTTCTTTTCTTTCTTTCTTTCTTTCTTTCTTTCTTTCTTTCTTTCTTTCTTTCTTTCTTTCTTTCTTTCTTTCTTTCTTTCTTTCTTTCTTTCTTTCTTTCTTTCTTTCTTTCTTTCTTTCTTTCTTTCCTTCCTTCCTTCTTTCTTTCTTTCTTTCTTTCTTTCTTTCTTTCTTTCTTTCTTTCTTTCTTTCTTTCTTCTTCTTCTTCTTCTTCTTCATCATCTTCTTCTTTTTCCTCATTTGCTTCATAGTACACCTTCAGATAATAACTTGTTGGCATCTTAGAGTTTATCCTTTAAACGTTCAGATATATTCCCAAATAGCTTTCTTGGCTCTGCATTCTTTAACTCTCTAATTGTAAATATATAGCTGTCATTTTTTTCAGCTCATCAGTTTGATTCATGATTTTAATTTCGTTTTTTTTTTTTTTTTTACATCTTTCATGTAGTTGAAACAATTCAGGGGGAATTCCTGGGAACAAGATGCAATAGGTTGTGTTACATGTTTGGGTAAAATCATAAAGGATATAGAAACACAGGAGAAAATGATTGCGGTTTTGTAAACAACGTAGAGTCCTGTACGAAACATGTGAAATACATGCGATAAAGTTAATCATTCCTGAAATCCCATGCCCTTACTGTGGAATAAGTTTCTTTAAGCTAGTCACACTCGCCATCGCCATGGGCTATGATACAATAAGATAAAGCAATGTCGTCCGGAAAGACAGAAATGGGACATCAAAATTCAGAAGTTCAAACAGTTTCACTCAATCACTTAAGTACAGTCTCCACTTATTGTACACTCCGAGAGACAGCATTTCGTTCATTTTTTGTTGTAATCATCCTATTTATATTATGGTGAATGGGAGCCGCGGTGGCCTAGTGGCTAGACGCGCGCCTGTCCACCAGAAGGTCTTGGGTTCAAATCCGCATCGAGGCGAAGCATTTTTTACTAAAACTAATCTGTCAAACAACTAGGAAACGGGTAATATCATGGAATTTGACCTCATCGGCCACCAAATTCTCACTCTATAAAAAATGTGGTTCTGTCAAAGATAGTGCCATTGGCATAAGTAGGCTTGTTTTCCTTGTCATTTTATTTTATTTTTCTTTATTACTGTGTGATGTACATAAGTTGCGAGCAATCAAAAGTCTGCATGCAAACAAGACAGATCTGTAAAATAGATTTGCATTCAAAGTAACTCAAGTTATGGAACCAGACTAACGTCCAGAAGTGTGCGAACAATCAGAAATTCCCACCAGAGTTGACCGCCGATGAATGAGCACGAGGAAAAAACAGAAGTGTTTTCCTTCTTATTTCATTTTCTCTTTTCCACTTTAGATTTCGAGGAAGACAGAGTGTTTTGCTTCTTGCTCTTCTAACCATTTCGATCGCTGGTGCCGGAAACTGGGACTATAAACCACTTGAAACCCCACCCCACTCTCCGACCCCCCCCCCCCCCACACCACACCCCCACCCCCCCCCCCTTTTTTTTTTTTAACCACAGTGGCAGGTGCCCCTGACTTCGACCATATATACTTGATACTCTTATAGATGTACTTCCCCGTATTCTGATCCACTTTGTTCTGTAATCTTCCACATTTAGTCTTAGCTAACTAATGTCATTTTGACCAATGGCCAATCCCACAACAGAGAGCAGCCGTAGTGTAGTGGCTAGACGCTCGCCGGCGAATCCGAAGGTCATGAGTTCTATTTCGAACGGGTTTGGACTTTTTTCAGGTAGACAGACTCAAATGGATACAAGTTGAAGTACTGGGAATAAGAGATCGCCGGCATGATCCAGAGTCCATCGTCCACCCAGTGTCGACGGTTCTTTAAAATATACGGCTAGTACTATAATGCCTCGCCTGTGTGTCAAAGAATGGTAACACTGCACACTGTCATGCATGTCGTAAGAGGTGACTTACGGTAGGGTTGGGCTTGAGGTTGACTGCCTTATCGTGTAAAAACTATAGCTACAAAAACCACCCAGCGATGGAAAAGTCAAGTAGGGGAACTAGAAAAACTCAGCCAGCCATCCATCCAAGAAAGGGAAAGGCTTTTCTGGTAGAAGAAAGAAGAGATTGTGTAGAGAAAGCCGAAAGGAATCTGGATTGTCGACCAACCTTCTTTCATCTAGGAAAACCTCTAGAATTGGCACCGGTAATGTTAGAATTGTATACGATGTAGTAAGAACAACGGAAGGGATCTAGAGAGTGAAGTTACAAAGATGGGAAGAGCTGCATGCGACACTGAACGATAGAACGACTTGGCGTGAGTTGGTTGAGGTCCTATGCCCCACTGGGGGGTTAGAAAGGCAGAAGAAGAAGACCGTATGCCTCATACGCCAACTTAAGTTGCTCAACATTGAGGTGTCATGGTTGCAAAGAAAGGAAATGCATTACTATTCCTTTTTATGCCAGTGGCAATTATATTTTATAGATAAATGGGAGCTCGTGTGTGATGTTATCAACATTACCTCGGCCGCCTTTACTTCAAAGACATTTTTCTGAAAACTCGGTTTTTTTTTTTAAATACTAATGCAAAGGGGCTTTTGAAAACTATTCGACATAACTTTGATATACATGTTTAAAGGAACTCAATAGGTAGTCCGCTAGTTGGCTGGTTTGTTGATCGTAGGTTCGAAACCCCCTCAGAGCCACATTTTAAAAATTACTTTCAGACCAAAGTTGGGCAGCAAGGAATGTTCTTAGAAGTAATGGCGGGTAGCGTAACATGACGAAATCACCCACTGAGTTTCAACTGGTCTTTAAAAAAAATATGAGGCTAGCACTGCGTGTTTAATAACCTGGCAAAAACGTGTCTTGTACTAGCTTTTCTTAGACAACTTAAACTCAGAGAAAACCATTGTATAAAGTTTGTAGAGTGAATCACCACATGAGGGTTAGGTGTTAGATGTTATACAAGTTAAGAAAGCCAGAAAACAATATAACTAGAATGTCCTTCTACTAGGACTCATGGAATTAAGATGAATAAAGGCAGACAAAACACACACACACACACACACACACACACACAGAGAGAGAGAGAGAGGGGGGGGGGAGAGAGAGAGAGGGGGGGGGGGGATTAGAAAATCTGGTTTAAAACAAAAAGACAAAGAGGACACAGGATGTGCTGCATGCAATGACAAAGTATAGAACAACATAACTTGAGCTGGGTAAGGGAAAATATTCCATTAGGAGATAAATGACATAATAAAAGGAGAATGGTTGGAAACTTCAGCGTACACGTAGTGAGTAAAAGAAAAATCGATCTGGTTTGAGCAAATGTACAATCCCAAAGTGTGGTTCAGATAACATGTTTTGGATCCACTGTCCTAATTAATGACACAAGGGGTCATGCCGAAACAGACAGGAGGTGTTCATAACTTTAAAGCTATTTATTAACTTTGGCAAATCTGCAGCATCCACGTATACATAAGGGAGATGAGCGTACAGTGAACGGACTGTTCAGAGCTGGAATCCATTGCGTGACATTGGCTTCCCTGAAATCCTGGAGTAATTATCACTGTACCCATCAATGTCCCCCTGGCCTGGGACCACCATCAGTTGAGGTTGAATTGGCATCGATTTCTTGGAGAGCGTCTCTGAGTATGCGTTGATTTCGGCTGGGGAAGAGATAGAAAACATGGTTTTAGCATATGGAGAAATCAGTTTTTGAAACACGGACAACACAAAATTTCCATATGAAACAATTAGGTTTTGAAGACTGAAAATCAAATGGAGGTACAAAACGTTTAAAATAAAACCAGCTGTTGAAGAAGACATGGATTAAGGATACGCAAAATGTAACTGTTGAATATAGAGAAAATATAATATCAGTATCAGTTCTCGTTATGCCTAGTGGCACATGAGGCTTCAGAGAGGACTATCCATGATTTCCTGTCCTGTGCAATCTTCAGTGCAGTTTTCCTTGTCAGAGATGCTGCACTCAGGTCACTTTCCATCGTTCGTCTCCATGTTGTTATTGGGCGCACCTGTTTTCTCTTTCCCTCTGGTGACCATTTGAGAGCTGTTTTGGCAGGTATTTCAGGATTCTTTCTCATAACATGGCCAAGCCATTTACATCTTCTCTTGGTTATCATACTGTCTAAAGTTTCTTGGTTTGTGACTTGAAGTAGTTTAGTGTTTGAGATTGTATCTGGCCAGAAAATTTTGATAATTCTACCTAGACGTGTGTGGTGGAAGGTGGACAGCTTGTGTGCATCCTTTTTGGTCATTCTCCAACATTCCGCTCCATAAAGAAGAACTGGCAAAAAGATGCTCTTGTAAAGTCGGAGTTTTGTTCCTTTGCAGTAATTATTTGATTTTCAGATTTGCCTCATTCTTACAAAAGCAGCCCTAGCTTTGTTCAGACATGACTGTATGTCCTCTTCGGTCCCTCCCGGTAGGAACATCACACTGCCAAGTTATGTGAAACGTTCTACATTTTCAATAGTTTGGTTATTTATGGTCACTGGTTGTTGGTTTGGACTGTTTGTCATGATCTTAGTTTTCTTTGTATTTATTCTCAATCCACCATTTCTGCTGTGCTGTGTAGTCTGTTACTTTTTTCTTGTATATGTTCATGTTTATGTGATAGGAGTGCTATATCATCTGCAAAATCATGGTCCTCAAGCATGGTGAATGGAGTCCATCGTATGCCTGTCTACTGTGTTCTTTAGTATCCAATCAATCACAAGGTTGAAGAGGAGAGATGACATAACACATCCCTGTCTTACACCTGTGTTTACTGGGAAAGATGTATTGTAATTTTTTTATACTGCAGGAAAAGTCTTTATAGAAGAGAGCAATTATGTTGACGTTTAAAACAAAATCAGCTGTTAAAGAAGACATGGATTAGGGATACGCAAAATTTAACTGTTGAATATAGAGAAAATGGAATTAACATATGGAAAAAACAGTTGAAGTAAAGAAAACAAACTACCCAAAACCAAGCAAAGGGCAAATTGAAATTTATGCAAATCAGTTGTTGAAAAATGGGAAACAATAAGTTAGCATATGGCAGGTTTGAAAAAGGAAAACATTGAGTAAATATGCTTTGTAATGACCTAGGCTCCCACGTCGACCCAACCTTAAATGGGTACCAGGTAGAATCCTGGGAAGTAAAGACGACATGCGTGATATCGACCACATCACCCACTGAGTGATGATCGGTCTATAACATATAGACCTAGCCATATATGCCCATTACTCCTTAAAACGCGGAAAAGAGTCTTTCACTTTATTTTACGTCTACAGTTATAATACATTTTTTCATCTGATAACAACTCTTATTAATAAACTAGGCTGCAACCGGTGTTCTTCCAGGAGATACAATAAAGGGTGACAACCTTATACCGACAAATCTAAATGTAGAAAGCTGTCACATGCAACGTGCTTGAGTGCGCTCGGGTCTGCCTTCAAGCCTTTCACCAGGGGAACACAATCTAGCTGCATTGCGAGAATAAAATGTTTCATCTCTGTCTGTCTGTCTGTCTGTCTGGTCTGTCTGTCTGGTCTGTCTGGTCTGTCTGGTCTGTCTGTCTGGTCTGTCTGGTCTGTCTGTCTGGTCTGTCTGGTCTGTCTGTCTGGTCTGTCTGGTCTGTCTGGTCTGTCTGTCTGTCTGTCTGGTCTGTCTGTCTGGTCTGTCTGTCTGGTCTGTCTGTCTGGTCTGTCTGGTCTGGTCTGTCTGTCTGTCTGTCTGTCTGTCTGTCTGTCTGTCTGTCTGTCTGTCTGTCTGTCTGTCTGTCTGTCTGTCTGTCTGTCTGTCTGTCTGTCTGTCTGTCTGTCTACCAGCACAAAAGTAATGACATATGTGTACATACGTACACAACAATTGAATACTATAAATATATTTTAAATCGTCATTAAAGAAGTAATTCTCTCACGTATACAATCCCTCTTGTCCCTTAGCAGGGTGCACCAGCGTACTACTTGATGAAACCGTTCAGAGTTATCTAGTCTTTCCTCTTCCGCTCCAGGAACGCCTACTATTCAATAAAGCTAAACTTATTAAACCAATCATATCTAAAAATGCTCCATGTTACCTTTGGCCATTATTTAAATACAATGGAAGACATAGCAAACGCCTTAACATATTGCATATCTCTAAACCTAGAATAGACCTATATAAAACAAGCTTAGCGTACTCTGCAGCTCAGCTGTGGAATAATCTTCTACCGGAAATAAAAAATATAAATAACCCCTTTAGATACAATCGGAAACTATTTGATTATTATCTCACTACAGACTATATGCCACCCTAAAAAGATTATAGTATGTTAAGGCTTTGATGTATTTCTTATTTACGGTTTTTTTTATTTTTTTTTTGGGGGGGGGGGGGGTCGGGGAACTTGGTGGGGGTTGAAAACTGAAGCTTATTATTGTTTAAAACTGAAGATGTCAGTCGAATGCATTCCATTATTTGTAACTAATATTTAATTGGTTTTGATGATATTTATATTATGCAACCTGTAAGACTTACATCATTTTTTGAATAGGCTTATTATTATACTCTTTTCAAACGTTCAAGTAATGTCAGTATAAATTAGAGCACATTCCAGCATTTGTAATTAAGACTTAGATGTTGTAATTTTTTCTTTTTTTATTTTTCTCTTTTTTTTTCTTTTTTTTTTTTTTTTTTTTTTTTTTTTTTTTTTTTTTTTTTTTTTTTTGTTTTTTTTTTGTTCTTTTGTTTCTTTTCTATATTTCTCAAATTTTTAATTGTGCATTCCTTTTTATTATTATTATTATTATTATTAATTATTATTAATATTATTAACTATGAAATGAGGTAAAAATGACACATTGTATGAAAGGAGCGGAGTGGAAGGGCAGAATGTTAGACGGGCCTGCGTGCCCAATTCTTAACCCTTTGAAAATAAAGTTTGTTCGTTCGTTCGTTCGTTCTTCAGCCTAGGACTGTGAATGGTGCAGAGGTCATAGCCCTCCGTGTCTGGCGGTTTGATGACACCCGTCAGAGGTCTTCAATGTTCACTAGACCCATGATTGAGCCTTTTCTGATAATGGTTCTACGCAGAGTCTCTCTTGGTCTTCCTCGTTTACCTTTCCCTTCATGTGTCCATATGTCAGTGCCCGAACTATATCCTTCTAAAGGGTTTAACGGTATATCTACTAACTGCCAGAACAGCAACTACGTGCTTTAAAGGGCTTTCTTCCCTCCTAGGTCATGTAATCGTGTTAGTATGTGAAATTCGGCATTATCCGGTGGTTTAGTCCGTAAAGAGTATATGTCCTAACAAAAGACTGTCAGAAGTTTTCATTTGCTGTGTAATTGTTGCCGGGAGTTTTCATTTGCTGTGTAACTGTTGCCAGGAGTTTTCATTTGTCGTGTAACTGTTGCCAAGAGTTTTCATTTGTCGCGTAATTGTTGCCAGGAGTTTTCATTTGCTGTGTAACTGTTGCCAGGAGTTTTCATTTGTCGTGTAACTGTTGCCAAGAGTTTTCATTTGTCGTGTAACTGTTGCCAGGAGTTTTCATTTGTCGTGTAACTGTTGCCAGGAGTTTTCATTTGTCGTGTAACTGTTGCCAGGAGTTTTCATTTGTCGTGTAACTGTTGCCGGGAGTTTTCATTTGTCGTGTAACTGTTGCCAGGAGTTTCCATTTGTCGTGTAACTGTTGCCAGGAGTTTTCATTTGTCGTGTAACTGTTGCCAGGAGTTTTCATTTGTCGTGTAACTGTTGCCAGGAGTTTCCATTTGTCGTGTAACTGTTGCCAGAAGTTTTCATTTGTCGTGTAACTGTTGCCAGGAGTTTTCATTTGTCGTGTAACTGTTGCCAGGAGTTTTCATTTATCATGTAACTGCACATATCTGCCCATAATTCTTTCCAGTTGTCGAAAAGTGTTCCAGGTTTCCAATGTCTTATAATACGTTTGCCAGTTTTTACTGAGATTGCACATACCTTCACACTAAAACCACCTTTCCACTGATGGGTATGCGTATTCATATCGATTCAGGACAACCTGCAATTCTGCCTTTGTCATTCACTGGAGTTTCCTTGCATATTATGTGTGGATTACTCTTTACGGACTAAACCACCAGATAATGCCGAATTTCACATACTAACACGATTACATGACCTAGGAGGGAAGAAAGCATACAACAAAAGACCAAAAGATTGTGTATAGGTTTGGTTCCTAATGCATATTTCATTTGAGATGCGGGTGTGTGTGTGTGGGGGGGGGGGGGTCTTTTATTACGGTGCATACATTACGAAATTGTTCTGCCTGTGTGTCAAAGACTGGGCATTTATTAAGTGTAAACACAAAAGGTAGAAATGAGAGAATACAAAGGGACAGGTTCTTGCATCGATAGGTAAAGTAAAGTAAAGTGAAGTAAAAAAGTAAATACATACATTTAGCAATAGTGTCATCCGTTGAATATATTTCAATCCTCGCCCTCTTGGAGGCAAGGAAAAAAGCCAGTGTTGCCAGAAGGCCAGTGTCAAAGATTCCCAAAATGGCTAGAATATACGCCCAGCGTATGCCACATTCTCCAAGTGTGTACTGTCCTGCTTTAGGGCCACAGATTTTAAGGATCTCTGTGTCATTCCATCCAGCGGGGTAGATCACACACGCCAAAAACAAGAACACGGCTGTCGATAGAAAAAAACATTATGTCAACAAATGGTTCTTTATTAATATCCTACCCCAGATGACGTCACAGGTCAGTCCAACATTTTAGAGGGTGGTAAGACTGGGTTTCTCGGCTTTCTGATGTTTTTAACGACCCCAAAACATCTTGAACTTGCCCAACCCCAACCCACCTACGTGCCACGACTGCATGCAGCCTAGGTTCCACGACTGCATGCAGCCTAGGTCCCACGACTGCATGCAGCCTAGGTGCCACGAATGCATGCAGCCTCGGTGCCACGACTGCATGCAGCCTAGGTCCCACGACTGCATGCAGCCTAGGTCCCACGACTGCATGCAGCCTATCTACCACCCCCTGAACTATTAGTCACCTTTTATGGCTTGCTTCTTAGGGGGAAAGTTGGTATATTCTCCCCCTCCAAACCACATTTTCCCTCCCACAATCCCTTTCAACGATGCACTCAGACCCACGCAGAGAGAATCAGTCATTCAATTGAGAAATGATTTCATCAAGATAAAAGCCGTTGGTAAAAATCTTTACCAAGGCCTTCTGTAGGAGAAGGTCTAGGCACTCTTCTGTAAGGCGTAGACGAGCAAGTGGTATTTTTCTGAATTAAATGAACAGTGGACCTGTGATTCGAACGTGTGTAGTTAGTTACCTTGTCTTCTATTTACATTTTAGAAATATCCTACAGAAAGCCTTGTTTTTGTCTTTTAGCTGTTGCGCCATAAAAAAAATCATCAGTCTGTTGTACCGTTTTATAAGCCCCAAAAGGCTGGCAGTTAAAACCTCTTTTATGTTCTACATTGTGCAATCTATTTGATGTCGTGGATGGAATCCAGTCCAGCAACTTGGGATCTTTCACCAACGTTAGCCATAGGTGTTCTCCTGGACTGCCTTGTTTCTTCGGTAAATCTGTGTATCATTTCAGTGTCTTGGTGACTGTCTGTTAGCTTCTGCTCAGGATGTACCCGATACATCGCCCTCTTCTTTGTCTTACAGCTTAGTTGGTCAACCGAAGGATTATTCTCATTGCACATCGGACAAGTTTATAAGCGGGCGGATCCCATCTTCAGTATAACCCCCAGCGTGTGGTGACTGATAATACCTGTTATGTGTTGGTTTACTATTCTTCTTTGGCTACCAGTAAAGTGGTCATACCTGGAAACACACAATGCCATCTCCTGAATCTTCTTCTCGTCCGACCTCTTTAGGGGCATTTATATATAATAAATAGATTGTATTGATCGGCACTCACAGAAAGAAGTAGAAAAACAGAAGGACACACCAGACAACATACAATTTTGAAGCTATAGTTACCGTGCCGGGAATCGAACCTGTCACCTATAAATGGCGGGTGCGCCTCGCTATGTAAACAAGTGCACTTAGATCACGACCATCTAGGCAACAACCCTAATAAAGGTGTCTTTCCTGGAAATGCCTATTGTACAGCTTGAAATGTACAACTATGGAATCCTGACAGAATTCATCACAAACCATTGAAATGGCACCATAGTTTACAAAAATTTATATTATTTAAGAGCACTGAGAATGTCGGCTCGAACCTTTGGTTTTGCTGTACCTACCTACAACTGTTAATACTGATGTTAGTCCACACATTGCCCTTATTCCAGCGCCCCCCCCCCCCAATACTTTTGTAAAAAATCACATTTATTGTTCAACATTCACTCAGGCTTTCATTTTCGAATGCAATAGGCGCAAATACTTCATAAAATACTTGATACTATGATTTAGTTGACTAAGCACCTTAAGACATCCAAAAGATCGGTGATCTCATTTCGGGTAAAGATATATATTTGTCGGTGAGGCCAAAATTTCCAGTCCATGTTTTTATAGAATCTAACGTAATATATTCTAAGCCAAGGGCATCATCAAGAGGATAATGTTACAATAGAAAAGGTCACGAACTTTGCTTAATTTAACTTATCACGTAACAACAACTCTGACCGTTCATTTAGTTTAGCTAGATTAAAGCGTTTTTTTTTTTTTTTTATTGTATAAAATTAATCGTTTAATGTAGATTATCTTTACCACGCTGGGAAGGTGAATGGTGCTCCGGTGTGCTCTGTAATAAATCAGAATAGTTAACTCTTACTTGCTTTAAAATGTCGTCTGCTTTAGCCCTCTGTATGCTACTATTATAACCCCCCCCCCCCCCCCCCCCCGGTTTCATCGACTTCCATTCGCTCGGAAACTTAACTCTGGCTTGCAGATCCGAAGGTGGTGATTTTAGATCCTAATGGAGCCTGATTTTTTTTTCGTCAACAAATTACATTTGGCCTAGGTCAACCTAGGCTTAAATAGACACAGATCTTGGGAAGTAAAGGCTGCTGGTGTGATGTTTACCATATCACCCCCCGAATGCCGATTGGTCTCTAGAACATAGGTCTAGCCCTATGTGCCCAATAGGCTTGAAAGCGTTAAAAGGTGTCCTTTTGCCTTACTGACCTCTTAAGCGAAGCTGACATTTCTGTCATCATCATACAATCTTGTGCCGCCGAAAACGCCGCCCATGTTTACTTGGGAATTGCCATCAAAGACGGCTTGCCTATTCTCACCATAACAGCAGTCAATATCAACATTATGTGATTCCTTTGCTCTTTAACTGCTTGAAGAACTGGTCAATGTATAGTTCATTTCATGCATACCAGTAATACTTTCTTGCCGAGTCGGAATGTAGGTGCTCCAGGCGCTGTGCAAGACTTGAAATCTGGCAGTCTATATAGATCATGAGCTGCCGTGGTGTAGCGGCTAGTCGCTCGTCTGATGAACGAAATGTCGTAGGTTCGGGTCCTGATGGAGCCGGACTTTTTCTAATGACTTTGGCTACCAAGTCGACTTTGCCTTTAATGGGTACGAGGTACAGTCCTAGGAAGTAAAGGCGGCCGGTGTGATATTTAGTCTATAAAAATATACGCCCAATACACCTGAAATCGGGGAACGTCGTCTTAAACTGTACACATCAAGTTCCTTGTGTTGGTTTCCACAGTGGTAAGGAGAAGCCGACCATCAAGAAAGCAATGGCAAACTACTGGACGTAAATATGCCTAGAAAACACACAACAGCCAATTCCGGGGTTGGTTCTGCAACGTCCTGTAAACGATACGCAACCAACTTTTAACATATCAAGTGGATCTTATGCGATTCGTCTAGTTTCGTCTCCTGCAGAATATGAGTCGACGACAGTCTTCGTCGCGGTAGAGAAAGCTGTCCAATCGCTTCTCGCTGATAATCCCCATGATTTCCCACGACGGTGTTACGAAAGTTCTTGGTCAGTAAGAGTCTGGACACTAGAAAAACAGCTCCTGTTCTGAAATGTGTATCCTTGTTAGAACCTTGATACTAAACTAACTTACACAAAGCCATCTTCCTATCCATTTCCATTTTCTGCATATCGCCAATATTCACTTCTAGCTCTGATTATTTTCCTAATGTTTTTTTCTTCTCCCTATTTCTTTATTTTCTTCATGTGTTTTTTCCTCCCATTTCTTTTTCTCTTTTTTTCATGTGTTTTCTTCCCATATTTATCTCATTTTCTACACGTTTCACTCCCCTACTTCTTCCTTTTCTCCCTGTGCATTTTCCCTCCCATATTTCTTTATGTTCTCAATATATTTTTTCTTCCCCCCCCCCCCCCCCTTTTCTTTTTTTTTTTTTTTCTCTATATGTTTATTCATCTCCCTATTTCTTTTGCTTTTGTAGGCTACAGGAAAAGAGACATTATTTTGATCATGTTAAGAGATTTTGTTTCACTTTTTTGTACCCTATAATCCCGGATCTTGTTTTTACACATTAATTCGTTAAATTGGGTTTGACTTTCTTTATAATCTTTACATCAGTGATTTTGCCACACAATGTTTAACTATTTCCTGATGGGCACAACATAAATTATCTTTGTGGTTTCATCAATTCAAAATCCTCTATTTATGATAAAAATTATATCGTTTGATTTTATTTTTATTCCCATTATGCCTTAACGGAAAGAAAGAAACAAAACGAAACAAAAATGAAGAAAGAAATAAAAATAGAAAGAAACAGACAGCGAGACAAACAGGAAGGTAGAATGGAAAAATACAATGTAACAACCGAACATGATATACAAAGTCTTCATAAGTCTGAAGAATAGATCATACAGTGACAAGACATGAGAGCAAATAGAAGAATTAAAGACCCCCAAAAAAACATAAATTTCAAAGTTACTAGACTCACCAGTTATTAGTTCAAGTATCCCACAAAACACAAACACAGCAGTCTTCTTGAAGCAGAAAAACAAAAGCAGAGCAGCCACACATATCAACATCAGTAAGGCTGCAACGCCGCAGAAAAACGTGCTGGCCCGAAAAGGATCGTTGAGAATCTGATTAAAGTCACCAAAAGTCCCATTGCACACGTATCTGTGAAATTGTGGTTCCTCAGGGAAGCAGTGAGCGTAAACACCAGCATGGCCGAAACCGTCGGAATCCTCGGTGTCTCCAATCCACTGTGGTTGTATGAAGCAGACGACGTTCAAAATGCACCATACGATGGTCAGTAAACCCCATAAGACAGCTACTGCTCTGTATTCTCTCATGTACCGAAAGTAGTAGATTTTGAGAACTTCCGGGTTAAATTTGGGGTCCATGTTCTTGTAAGCTGTTGGGGGGAAATGAATACATAAAATATGGTTAAGGTAAGGATGTGTAAAATAACGAAGGAAAATCTAAGGACCCTTTCGATTACCTCGGGGACACAGCGCAAACTTTATATTGTTATACTCCAATCGGCACTCGATGGATGTTTTGGCCAACCATTACTTTCATTGAGGTATTATGATAGAGGTAAGCATAAATATGA